AATCACTGTTGTAAAAAACAAATAAAGTAAAAAAAAAAAAAAAAAGCCAAAAACCAAAACAAATCAGAAAAACATCCCAAACTCTTGGAAAGCGAGCTGCTCCAAGGATCTTCCCAAATGACCCAGATCTTTAGAGTGAAGTTTTCCTTTGCCTAGAAACTAAGTGGCTTTTCTTTTGCTCATTCAGCTGCTAGTTCTGGGAAAAGCCCAAAGAGAAACATTTAGATTGGATGGGTCTTTGAGAAGGGGTGACAGTTGACTGATGAGCATCCATAAAATGACAAAGAATAGTTGTGTGGAGCCGGTGCATCACATCGCCTCTCCCTGGGAAACTAATTGCTCTGAATTGTTAATAGTAACATTATTTTTCTGGCAATCATTTCTTTTGAATACCCAAAATGAGCATGAAACAGCTCCTTTGACCAGACATAAAAGTTAAATGTCCCAATGTTGATCAAATTAACTTCAGCTATGTGACAATGGACTATATTTGTGAGAAAATAATGAAGGGCACAAAGGGGAGCTTTATGCCAAGATTTCACAGTTGTAATGTAAAAATGTTTCTGTTGAACTAGGCCAGGGAACATTTCAATAGGAAAACAGAAGAGCACTGTCACTTTCTTTAAAAAAAAAACCACATTCATTTTATGGATCTGAATGCTCGAGATAATTTCAGGAAGTTTAGATGGCTGGCACGCCAAGAGCCTCAGATCAGGCTAACACCTCACGTCCTGCCCTTCCCAAACTCTCCTTCACACAGTTAAAGGGCCCTGGTCTGCAGCTTCTCCTCATTCCCCAGCCCAGCTCTTGCATTCGGACACTTTTCCCCAGCAAGTGGCCACAGGACATGACTAATATGCCAATATGATTAATTAATACGACATATGCACATGATTTAATTACAGCAGATGCATGAAACTACATATCCTCTCTTACTCTTACTTACAGCTTCCACCCTCTAACTTCAGAAAATACAAAAAAAAGCAAGTATTATGCAAATAGGGCTAATTGTACCTGGGAATTATGCAAAATGGGCCCAGAAGAATCCCCACCCCCATCCCCCCAAAATATAAAGCAGATGTTCTTATTCTCATTTTAAAGCAAATTCAGTTTCTATTGTACCTATGTCTACCTGGAACAGCCTAACTGACTTGTGGGAGCTCAGTTGGGGTTTACACTGGAGCTGACAGAGACTCATTACACACCTCCATTTTCTACACACACACTGTATTTGTAAAAATACAAGCAAATATTTGTTTAACACCAGTGTGATTCCAACTCTTCTGGTCTTTAAAGCATCCATCTGACACCATATCTTCTCCCTTGCTAAATGGCAAGTATCAAACTTATTCTGCCTCAGCACATATCAGTGCCTTTAACAATGTTCTTGCTATTTAATTAATTTTTAAGCTATTAAAGTTAAATCACTGCAGATTTAGCTTTAATAAAGCCCTTTAAAGCTAAAAGAACAAACCCTTCTACTCCCCAAACATGCTATTAGGATTATTAATAGATTCCCTGTAGAGAAAACTTTTAGTGCAACTTTAAATCATTCGCTCGACGCTTTTCCTTTGTTTCCCCCCCCAACCCCTCCCCTGCTCAGCAATGCTGGGATGTCGTGCAGCTTCGTGACTATATGCTAAAACCCTATGTTAAAATAATTTTTGGGAAACCAACTTCCCTGGCAATCTGAACAGTTAAACTGATTCATTTGAGCTTTATTTGCAAACCCTTTTCTGGTTTGCATCCCAAACTCCTGTGGTAGCTGTTGCCCAGATGAAAGGCTGTACGTAACTCATGTTTATGAAGATGCAGCGCGAACACAACTGCGCTTTCACTGACTCCCACAGTGACCTAAATCAACTGTGAGAAGGTGTTTCTGTTTCATTCAGTGAAGGTTTAGCTCATTAAACTGTTTTCCTTCTCAGCATTGTTCACTGGGTTTGAACTGCATCGCTGTTAAATGCTCTTTAGCAGTTTAAAGGCTTTAAAGGAAAAGACTTATCAGTCTCTGTTTTTAACAGCACTAAATCTGCATTATTAGTTCATGCAGATAAGGGGATTTGAAAGCTCAGCTTGAAACCTCTCTCTTCTGTATTTATCTGACACTGCATAGTTCCAGTAGCTCAGCTGGAAATGTAGATCTATGAAGCTTTAAAGAGAGATTAAAGCCAAGAAAAGAAGTACTTTTCCCCTATAGCTGTTCTCACTTTCCCTTTTCCTGCTGTCTGAGGGAGTGCTGGTGGACAATGGCCAAAGATGGTTCCCAAAGCCCCTGAATGGGGACACTGTTGGTGGCAGCATTCATTCAAAGTGAGCTTCAGTGTATTGTCCTCCCCAATCAGCAGATCAGAATAGAGTGTGCTGGTGGCTGCCAAAAGGTTACCCCTGCCGATGAAAGGGGCTTCCCATTATTCACTGTGCTACAGAACTCCCCCTTTGTGCCCGCCAGCCCATCACTGCTCTGTGGAGGTCCGGATCTGCGGCTGGCTGCTCCCTCAGAATGGACAATTCATCCACGGCGAGCTCGCTGTGCCACTGGGCAACCCAAAATCCAAGGGCTCCTTTTCTAAGGACAGGGGAGTCGGGGCAGTTTTTGGCAGTGTCACATTTTAATGATATACCGTCGTGACATCCCTGACCCACAGCTGACACTAATACTACAGTCTATTACCTTACCCTTGCCAGGGCATCGTGGGAGGTCCAAAGCCAAAATTAGCTAATGAAGCACACTGTATGCTGCAAACAAGTGTGCAATAAATAATGCAATGGGGTTGCACAGGTTTCCCTCGTGCAAAGCATAAGACAATCAGAGGAGACCAACAGATCCAAGGAAAAATGAAACAAAAATAGGCCTTTCCCACACTGCTCTTTGTAGCAGAACTCAAGAATCTGCATCTCAGACTGCACCGAGAGGTAGATCCTGATCTTTCTGTGCCCCTGTCCCCTAATCGGGGATCTTTTATGTATTTATGTTTTTATATATATCTATATGCTATGTATTTGCAAAATTTCCAAGTGCCTCCACCGTTTTCTGATGCTTTGAGCAGTTTGCAAGCGATGCAAGAGAAGAAACATTGGCTCTTTCCTGCTCATCCTTGGATCACCCCAAGGGTGCTGGTAAATTCCTGTTTAGAGCAATTCCTGCTCAGCCCCCTGCTGGGGGAAAGGCAGGCTCTGCTATCCCACCTGCTGGCCCTCCCAGAAGAGGAAACCTCTGAGAGGGAGGAAACCTGGGAGAGAATGTGTTTGGAAAGGCATTCAGACTCCACGTTTCAGAACCTTTTTCAGTGAAAAGCTACACAGGAAAAAAATCACAGTGAGATATTTTCCAACACGTGGTTTGGCTCAGGAGTGTCTGAAACTTCCAGGCTGGTGCCAGAGAGAGCCAGGAGAGCTGACAGCTGCTTGTGGAAGGGGATCCTTCCCGCCTCTGCCGCACGCAGGGAGGCTGCGAGCAGTTGCCAGAAGGCAGAGGCGCAGCAGATCGTGTTGGGCAGCACTCGCCCACGAGTCCTGGGCATGTGTTCCCTCCCCTCAGCCACCAAGGGACTGGCCCTTGTCACCCATATGTCCCCAGCTGATGGGCTGTGCTGGGCAGTGGATGGGGCTCAGGACTCTGGCTGGGCTGGGACTCCCCAGGGCTCACTCTGGGGAAGGGCAGAGGTGACACCAGCCCAGCCCTCGCTCCAGGGAAGGAAAAGGCAGCAGTGGCCCTGTGCTCGTTGGGGTCTTGTCCTTCAAACCCAGCACCCTATGGCACAACAGACAGCAGGGATCAGGGCAAGGAAACAGCACAGGAAGTGCTCTGCTTCTATTCCTTCCAGCCTCAGCAGTTTGTTTTAAGCACCCCATTACACCAGGGACTGCAGTGAATGCCACAGCTGCTCTGAAGAGACAAGTTAAAGCTCTACTTCTAAGGCAAACATGAAGCCAAGCAACACCTCCTAAGAGAAATACCTGCTTATTCTGCCAACACACCAATGCCCACGCAGAAGCATTTTTTTTTCTTACTCAAGAAAAAGCTATTTTTTTCTGACTTTATAATTAGGACAGCTGTAAATTGCTGGGTATTTTTGGGACTCTCCTCTGTACTGTAGCACTCATCAGATGAACCACTCTGCAATACCCTTATAACCCATGTGGCAATTTAATTAATACCCGTGGTGGCTGCACACAAATGCTGCGTGGCTGCTGAGATGAGCTGCCTGCTGCACCCAGCCGGTGTGGAGATTAAAGAGCCAACAGCTCCATGTGCAGGGAGCCAGGAGGAGAGGCTGAAAGAGCCAGGTTTGTTCAGGTTACAGAAAAGATGTCTGTAGAATACCCCGTTGCTGGCTTTATCTATTTGGTAGTTAGAGAAAAGACAGAGCCAGACTTTGTTCAGCAGGGCATGCCAAAAGATGAGGGTGATGGACACAAACCGCTTTGAGGAAAATTCTGGCTGGATAATAGGGACAGAAAGTTCCTCAGTGAGGGTAGTCAAACATAGCAACGGATGGCCCAGAGGAGCTACAAACCAAAATGTGTGGAGCTGCTCAAAGCTCAGCTGGACAAGCCCTGAACATCCTGATCTGCTGCTGAAGCCAGCCCTGCTCTGAGCAGGGAGATGAACAAGGGACTCCCAGAGGTCCCGTCCAACTGGAATTATTCTGTTACTCTGTAACCGAAAATGCACTTGAATGGCAGCTTTATTAGACTCCACACAGTCTAAGAAGAAGCTAATCTAACTAGTACATTAAAAAAATAAACCTACTTTCTACTCTGCAACTTCTGGTGCCTTTGGAGTGGTTTTCCCAGATCAGTAATTTGGCTTTAAAGAATGAGCATCATAAAGTGATCTCCAATTGGCACTGTCTAGAAAAAACTCTGGCAAGCAGTAACCATTTTTAGGTGACAGAATAAAAACCTCTACATTTCTGAGTGTGCCATTTGAAACATCTTTCATAGCTGCTTACGAACACAGAGATTGAGAGAGGCCAGGAAAGGCTAATACATACCTATCAAGTACATAGCCAAGAGCCTTATGCCGTATTCCTGAGTAAACCGATGGGCTTGTTTCCCAAGCAATTAAATTGGAAGCATCATGGAAAAGATGAATGTTTACCAAGTCAAAGGCACTATGACAAAAAAAGGAAAAAAAATAAAATGATTCAGGATAAAAGAAAAAAACCACATTTGTTGCATCAGCAAAGCATTCAACATAACAACACTTACTGTATTCGCTCTAATGTTACCTTAATATTTACTCACACAAACTTAGCAGGTTAAGCTATCATCATCACAAAATTGTCAAAGACTAGCATCAAGCTAATGACAGCTCATCCATGGGTAAGACTCCATCAGTACAGTATGCACAACGTGGAAATGAAAAGGTATTTGTCAGTTACAGTTCCAGAAATCAGGCAGCACCCTCTCAATAACATCTCTTTAAGCCACAACTGAATATGTAAACAAGCAACTTCCAGTTTACAAAGCTGCAGCTAAATGCCCAGTAGGACTGTGGCTTTGCAATAAACAACAGCAAAAGCTACTGACAGGAGAATGTTAATGATGTTAAAGGCTAAATCATATCACTGCAGCTCCTTATGTGTCCCTGTGTGGAGAACGCCAAGATGACACAACACTTCCAGCTAGGAAGAGGACCCAGGTTGCTTCCCTCATGGACTTGTTAGGCCAGACAAGTCTCCTAACCCCACCTGCAGCCTGGCAGTGAGAACATGGACAGGCTTTGGCCCAGAGAGGCATAAGCAGAAACCTCAAGCTGTGCTCAGGGAGGTCCCCAGACCATGATGGAGCTGGGAATGGATCTGGACACAGCAATGACGGCAGTGAGAACAGCGAGCATGGTCAGACACACAGGTCACCCAGCAGGAAGGGCTCTACCAGAGATACCGGGGGAGGTACCTGGCTCCAGGGAACAGCACATCCTGTCCACTGAACTCACACTGAGGAGGAAGCAGAGCCACTAAACTCTCTACCAAAATATGCAATTACACAACATGACAGCTTGAGATGTCCATTCCTGTTGGTTGAAGGATGAACAGGAAGAATCCCTGAGGGACAGGGAGGTTCCCATGTCACCAGCTCAACTCACGTGTGAAGGTATCTATAACTCATCTCCATGTGCCTAAAGCTGACTTCTTCTTAAAACTGATGATGGGTCTTCCACCTACCATTTCCCTGTCCTTAAACTCAAACTTTGATCATTTTCCTGCAAATTAAACTGATTTCTGCCCCTTCTGCAGGGTTGACAGACAGCACCTAGTCTACCTGACATGTCCAGCCAAGTGGTCTCACTCCCTACTCAAATACTCCCACCATTCCTGACTCTCCTACCCTTTTTCCAAGCATACCCAAAGCACAGCACTCAAAGCCAGACAGAGCACTCTATCACAGACCTGAGCAGCACTCAGGTAAATAATTACCATGCCTTTCCCCTTCGTGTCCTTCACAGGATCCATCTATTAACACATCTCAGTAAGATAATAATGAGCCATATTAAATTCTTTCTCCCTTGATCCTTTTCTACAGCAGGGGTAATGAGTCAGTTATTCCCCAAATTGTATTGCTGCTTTTGAATTCTCCTCTCAAAGTGCAAGGCTTTGCGCTTCCCTGACATTCATCTTCCAATACTACCTCCTCAAAAATATCAAAACAATTGTGGTTGCTGATTCTGACCTCTGATATAGTTGCAAACATTCCCAAGGTTGGTGCCCTACCTAAATTTTATAAGTGTATTCTCTACTCCATTCTCCCTACTAAATATGAACTATGTATACAAACTGTATTTAAGATTACAATGCATTCAGGACACTATCTTGCACCTATTAAACCACTGAGAATTACTGGAATAGAAACAAATACCTTCCTCTTATAGTCAAGCTAATAAAAAAAAAAAAAAGGTAAAAATGAAAGTGCACATAGTTATGTAGTTCTCTTTCATTTTTATTTAATGTGAAAACTTGGGAGTGCCTCAAGATTCTTTAGTTCTTTGTCCACACTAAAGATCAGTTAATGAAGAATAATGGAGGTGAAAATCTGGATTCACAGAGAAATTCAACTGGGGTAGCTCACTGAATCACTGAGGAGGGAAAAGGACAGTTCCTTGAAGTCTGTTAAGGTCACTTTTCTGGATCTTTGGGAGCCCAGTGTTTTTGGCATGAGGTACATTCTGTAATTACATTTTCCTAGGCAGGGAAAATGAACAGTTCCCCTCAAGGACTCACACAGAAGTACTAACAAGTGTTCAAGCTACATTTCTATTGACCTATTAGAATGTAGAAATGTACTGATCAGAAGTCATGATTATGAAAATGTCCAAAACTTTGTTTATATGCACAGAGACTGGGTGCAAACACTCACCACACCCTGAACAGTCATATCATGCACTCAAACCTCATCAGATGTATTTTCTAACGCCCTGTGTTTTCTATAGTATTTGACTTTTATTCTCCAGAAATTGTTCACAATAACTTGCCCCTTCAACTTCTCATGAGAAACTTCTCATTAGGTCCTGTGGATCATAATCACAGACTATTCCAGACACAGAACAGTGCATGAACTGATCCAAACATCCCTTACAATTCAAACAATCCCTTACAGACTGCTCCTCCCAAGGACTGTCCTTTTTTAGTATCCCCCACAAGAAAATACTGCCTTTAAATCTGTCTCTGAAGGACACCTTTTTCTTGGAAAGGTCTAAAGATAAATTCACATTATTTTTCAGCAAAGAGGAAATCCCAGAGGACAGGAGAGACAGAACCTGGACAAGTCACCATACAAGAGCAAAGGCCAGACTAGTGACTGGTGCTAAATAACCCATTTCTGCACAACTCTACTGGCTGGAATCACATGCCATGGGTTCAGATCTGAAAAATTAACATGAACCTAGGTTATCCCTAGCCTGCCCAATTTCAGGGTCAAAAGTCAACGAAAGGAGAAAACCTGCTGCTTTTTCAGTTTGCACAAACTGCTTAATCTAACAAACATGCTTATGCCAGCAAGCAAGAACACTGCTCAGCACTCAAAATTCAGCCTATGTGAACATTTACACAAGCTTACAATTTTAAGGCATGAAACAAGCACAGGAGGAAGGAAAAATGTTGAAGGTTCACATAAATGTATGTGACTGTAACATCAATAAATACTTGTGAGTCTACTGAGCTCTCCTTGGTTTAAGGTAAGGAACACTCCCAGGTTCCCTCAGGTGACTGTGTTTTGAAAATCAGCTGCCCCCTCAATATACATTACTACTGTTACTACTCTTACTGGTATTAAAGACAGCGATTTCAAACACAGATGGCAAACAGCCCCTGAGATACACCCCTTGTAAGCACTCGGGGGCACTGCTCCTCCAAAGGCAGCAATCAGCCCCGAACACCACAATGCTGCTCTGCTTCTGCCGGTTCTTTGCTCCCCTCAGCCCCACCTCTCCAGGATGTCGCCCGATCCCTACAACAAAACGTTTGTTCCTTCTGTAGATCTGCACAGCACGTGATGAGGAACCTGCTCTGCTCTGACAGCAGCCAGCTGACATCCCACATAACCAAGTCTGGCTCGCTGGGGCGGTTGCTGAGCACCTGAGTGCACAGGTAAGAGGTGCTGCCTGCTCTCCGTGCCCCTCCATCCAGCCCCACCAGGGAGCACTGGGCTGCCAGCTGCTTCACTCCACTCTAGGATGAAAATAAGCAACCTCACACAGAACAGGCCATACCTTGAGCTTAAAAGGGGAATCCTGACCTGAACACAACAAATAAAAAGTGCTGCTCCTGTAAAAAGAATACAGCAGGAACTGATTTAAAAAAGCTGCATTCCTTAGGGTTGGGTCCCTCCCCTGACTTCAGGGGGAACTGGACAGGGCTTAAAGAGCTCTTTCCTCAGGGATCCAGAGGTGAGGACTGCACGACCTCTGGCACAGGTGAGACACCACCAACCTTGGGAAGCACCAGGTGCGGTGGGAGCACAGTGAGGGACGCTGGGGCCATGCTGGGACTGACTCCTGGCTCTGCTCACAGGCATCAACCTGTCTGACCTCCCTTCATCAAGAGCTCCCTCTGACCCGAACGGTCCCACCCTAATGCTCTGTGTGAGCAGGGACACCACAGCTGGTTATGCACCTTAACAACTTCTGGAATCACAGAATCTGCTGAGTTGGATGGAAGAGACCCACAAGGATGATCAAGCCCAACTCCTGGCCCTGCACAGGACCATCCCCAAGAGTCACATCACATGCTCTAGAGTATCATCCAAATGCTCCTTGAGCTCTGTCAGGCTTGGTGCTGTGACCACTGCTCTGGGGAGCCTGGTCCAGCATTCCTGAACACTCTGTGTTCAACTGATCATAAAGCAACTGCTTGGAACCAACCTGCTCTATGAACAGACCAATCTACACATGGAAATACCTCCTTTGAAACAACTGTTAACAAACCCACACATAATACACATGTAATCAGAAACAACTTAAAGATGCAACTTACCAGTCAGTAATACACCATCTTGTTCGAATGAAACCTTTTCTGGACCACTTGCACTGAAAAACATAGCAAAGAAGAGCCAGTCACCTCAGGTAAAGGATTACTGTGAAACGTACTGACACAGAGAACAAAGTAAAACAGAGCTCACCCATCCACCATAACCAAGAACCACTGAACACAAACTGAAGTACCTTGAAAACAGATACTGTGTCTTTTATAAATCCTGGAATCATTTATATTTTTGGTCCTGCAGCAGTTATAAACTTATGTATAAAATTATTATAAACCACAGCACTTGTTTATAGATGAAAGATAACCAAACAGGAAAGCTTTACAACTGTATTTATGCTTAGCCTAAACCAGCAAATTCTTACTGCCTCTGCACAAATGTCCTCTTTGCAATTTTACCTGAACTGTAAAATGTCATCAGAGATTTACATCAAATTAAAATGAATGAGATCTGCTAGAAAGCTATTTCTCCTGCTGAGCCAACCCACCCTATATTTCTATAAAAGTTAAGGGGAATTTAAATAATGGTAAAACATTACATTCATCAAAACTGCACCGTCAGTGACAAAGCCACAAATCAGCTCATGCCCGACATGGCACTTATGATACAGCAAAAGGGGTTTTTCAGCACCACTCCTGAGCCACTGCCACAAATTACAGCCTCCCACAAGAAGACATGATTCTGAGTCCTTTTTATTCCCTGTAAACAACGCATGTTGGGCTAGGCTAACGTGCTCTGAGAATAAACAGTGCACCACACAGGCCTGAACAATGGTGCCAATGATTTTGTAGCAAATTACTGTGGTTCCTTATTGTAAATAAAGTGCCAGTCCCAGCAGAGCCCACTCTGGCAGAGGAACCACTCCTGAGGCACTGGCCAGGTGTATTTTCTCTGTGAACTGACAGCCCTCAGTCTCAGACACTGCTGAGACAGTGAGGGGCCTCACCAACCCAAACTGGGCTGTCTTAGAATGAGTAACAGAATCACAGAATGGTTTGAGCTGGAAGGGACCTTAAAAATCATCTCATTCCACCCCCTGCCATGGGCAGGGACAACTTCCACTAGACCAGGTTGCTCAGAGCCCCATCCAGCCTGGCCTGACCACCCTTCAGTGAACAGGGATCCATCTCCCTCTCCCCTGCTCTCGTCAGGCAGAAGCACAATGTCTGCAGCCAAGGCCAATCAGATACACCACAATAATAATTATCTACTTTATTGCAAATATTAAATTAAAATTAAATTAAAAAATTTTAAACTGTGAAAAATAGCTTCTTCTGCAGGTCCTGCATTCACTCTGGTCAATCAGGGGACTGGAAGGCATACACTCCAAACCTTCCTAACAGGATCCATGGCTGAACCACAAATCCCACAATTCAGTAAGGTCTCTTCTGTGATGATCACGAAGGCACAGTTACAAGTTGAGACGCCAACACTTATTCAAGAGCAAACCAATGAAGAAAGCTAAATGCTAAAAGCATTGAAAATTGGCTCAAATTTAATCTAAATCAATAAAAGGGAGCTCTGTATTTTCTTTCTTAAAAATAACTACACTGAACTTTTAAATACTGAAGAAAAATACACAGAACTAAAAATCAAGTAGTCTAAGCCTATGATGTGGCCCAAGAATCTTGGGCTTGTCTTCGATCAAGCTGACATTTTTCATTTGCTATTTTCCTCTTTGGCAACAGGACAGGTACTTCAAAAGATGCGACACCAAAACAGGGCCAACCAGACCATGTTTGCTTAGAACCACATCCACTTGTGTTTTGAGCATCTCCAAGGACAGTGATTTCATAGCCTGTCCAGGCCTGTCTTCTGCTGTTCATCCTCATGGTGAAAGCTTTTCCCAGATTTAGTCAGCTTTTCCCTTACTGCAAACTGCTGGCTGCTGCCCCTTGTCCTGTTTCTGCACACCTTGTCCCCTCCCTCTCCTGGTGGCACAGACAGGCTCTCTGGCATCTCCTTCCATATTCCCTGCTCCAGACCAGAGGTGCCTCAGCTACACTTGCTCCCCTCTGCCCACGTTTGCCTGGTATGGGGTTCCCAAACAAGACACTGTAGATGTGATATGGCCTTGGAGTGCCAAACTGATGGAGGAGTCTATTCCTGGAGCCTAACACACCCTGGGATGCTGCTGACCTTCCATCCAAGCACATCTTCAACTTACTGTCCAATCAGATCTGTGCCCTTCTCTGTTTCCTGGATGGTCATCTCCAGCCTGCAGCACTTTGTGAGGTTATCCCACCCCAGGGACATGGCTTGGCATTAATCTTTGCTGAACTCCATGAGGTCCCCTTCAGCCTGCTGGAGCCCCTGTCACAGCACCCCTGCCCTCCAGCACACTGACAGCTCCCCAGACTGAGCATGGCCAAGCTGAGTGTGTGCTCCATCCTGCAGTCCAAGCTCCTAACAGAGGAGTTGGATAGTCCCAATTCCAGCATCGACCCCTGAGGAACACCACTGGCAACAAGCTGCCAGCTGCACTTTGTCACCACCCCATCACCCTGGGGGCTGGCCAACCTTCCCAGTACAGGTGTCACCAACTGGGCTTCCAGAACACTGTGACAGACTGCATTTGAAGTCCTTGCTGGAGTCAATGCCTACAATATCCACAGCATGCCCCTTCTCCATGCAACTGGTCATCCAGGAAGATTTGCTCCAGCAGCTTCCCACGCCTGAGGAGATGCCACCTGGGACACTTCCTGAAAATGGCTGTGGCATGTATTTTCCTAGCCCTTCAGGAGGGCAGGAGGAGCCTCACTGACATCAGCCAGATCCCTTCTCCCTTGGACGTGCCCTGCCTGCTGCCACAGGCTCATGCGCTACAACTACTTTATGGTTTTGTGTAACCGAAGTGTCTGAGACCCAGAGTCCTGCTGTCAATCCTAATCCACTTCTCCAGTGGCATCTGGAATCTGACTGAAATGCAAAATCTGATTCCAGGCACCCACAGGACCCCACTCTGGTTCTGCCCCTGACACCTCACCAGGACAAGTGGTACCAGCACAGAGTGTGCCCAGCCCTTGGCAGCGCTGCCAGGCTGTTTAACACAAGCCTGTGCTGACACAAGCCACTGAAAAGGTACCTGCAACACAATTTGTATTTCGTGACATGGTAAAATACAGAATTTCTCACCAGAGCTCGGCGTTTCCTCACACACATGCTGTGAATACGGGTTTAAGGGCAGTGGTACATCTGAGGGGCCACTTTGCCACACAGTGTATTATAACCAGTGTAAAGGAAGCTCTGACACCTCACTATCAGGAGTCCTCACCAAAAAAAAAAGTATTTTTTAAAATCACCATTTGAAAACTGGTAGTTACATTCTGCCAGCCTTTTCTTTGTGAATAGAGTCTCTGAGGAGATCGTGCTGACCTTTTAAAACTCCCCAGAACCACCACCTACATAAATAACCCCTGCTACATTGGGGGAAAGGACCTCCAGACAGCATTAACATGAAGAGAGAGGTTAGAGAGGGCTAATGTCAAAAAGCACTGTGAGCAATAAGTAATGCACACAAACCATGATTGATAATGACCAGCACAGAGCCTTAATTCATCTTTTCTCCATCATTTTACTGAGAGGGACCATATCAAATTAAATAGTGACCCAGCAAGGGTTTATTCAACCATACAAAGCAGGGCATGAAGGAAAGACATATTAAAGTGGCGATGACTGTGGTGTAATTGCAGCTCCTTAAAGGAACACCACAGCTCCAGGGGAAACCTGGGGCAGGAATCAGCCAGACACTGACAGCACCGAGCGATGCTCAGCACTGACAGGCCTTCATGGCCTCAGAGCATCACACAGGACCCGTGTTCCACCTGCTCACAACATGCTCAGTGTTCAACTAGCCAGGAAAAAGATAAAAAACAATGCAGAATGTAGTTCCTACCCCAAAATTACTTCCTTTCTCTCCTTAGATCAGTTGCTTTTGTAACTGCTGGAAGTCAGTGGCTCCGTGTAATCCTGCAGTCTGCACCATTACCAAAAAGCAACAAGTGGTGGACAGAATCATGAGGGTTTGTGCCTTTTACCTGGCCTGAGGAGAAGCCAGCATGAGAGACAGGGGAGGAGCTTCAGCTCCCACTGGAGAACATCACCTGTGCCTCTGTACCATAAAATGACAGTTCTTTTACTGTGTAACTGGCACATTCCCCCACCTCAACCTGCAAAATGCCTTCAGATATAAATTGAACACACTTATTTAATTCCTTTAAGTTCCATAAATAATTCACTTATTAATGACTTGTCTATTTAACATGAGCAACACAGAGGTTTGTAGGCTTTGGGCCCAATGCAGCCCAAGAACTGGAGCACCTTTCAACATCTCCCATATAAAAATGTCATCCTCAGCCTCACATATTAACTGAAGCTGAACAGCAGGCCTTTCATATTTTTGGATCACTGATGTGCTTTAATATTTCCAAATACAGTATTTGGAAAGAAGAAAGTTTTGGAAACAGAATGCATAGAAGAACAACAGCTTGGGAAGGGGGAAAGAGAAATTTGCTTCCTATTGCAGATTTCAAAGCAACAATCTTTATTTTTACTTTAACAAATAGTCACTACCTGCTCCACCATCTGTAAGCCAGCATAAAACCAGGTGGAAATGACAGAGGTCATCTGTATGCTCTCAGAGAGGGATCTACATTTTAAAATAGGAAAAAAATTCCTACTTCATGTCCCAGAAAGGGGATACCACATCTTTCACCTTAGAGTATTAAGTCTCTTCTCAGATCCTCTGTTAATAGGATTCCTTTAGCCAGCAGATGGATTGTGAATACAGGCAGTTTCATCTACTAAAAGACAACATAAATCATCATTGAGAAAGGAGAGACTGCAGTAAGGTTATCACCATACAGCCTCCTCCATGAAAGGTTTGCATTAAAGCATTAGTGAAATTAATTCATCTTTCATAAGAGCTTTGAGCAGTATCTGTGATCTATGATAACAACCAATTTCTCACTATGGGAAAAAAAAATTACTCTGGCCTGATAGACTACACAAATCTGCTTTTTTTAAAATGGCCTAACATTATCTGGAGTGTTGCTCCCAGAGGCATCATTTGAGGCTTATGCCTTGCCAAGAGGACCCATAAATCAAGGCAGAAAGTTTTGTTAGTTTTATATGCAGTGGGCTGTAATTATTTTGAATTGCATTATGCCTCAATCATTGTAATTACTTTTAGATCATCTTTAAGTAGCAGTAATAAAAAGAAAAGAAATCAGTCTTAAACCATTTCTCACACAAAAAATTGCAAATGTGATATGAGAGGTCTGGCTAAAACACACAAGAACATGTCAATAGAAAAATTCAGGCAGATAAGCTGCTCGTGCCTTCTGCTGAGTCAACCCAAATTTCCAAAATACACATTTTTTAGTGGCCTTTTAATTGGTATTGTTATTATCAACATTTGTCTAGGGAAAAATGGGTGATAAGAAGATTCATTTTAGCTTTAGAAATAGAAATGTGTATGAGAAACAAAACTACATCCCTGTTGGTTTTTGCTGTTGCTATGTCTGTGTTTGAGAGGCTCTTTGGTCTCCAGTCCCCAACAGAAACAGATTAGGCTGAAAATCACTGCAATTATTTTCGAGATGTGCAGGTCTCAAGGAAATACAATGGGCTGGCCCATGCCAGGGGCAGCCAGGTGAGCACAGTCACAGGTGAGCACAGCAAGCGGCAGAGCTGCTGGAGGGATCTGCTGTTGTCCCCATCACTGCAGTCCTGGAGAGCCTGGATCCCTTTCTTCTCCCTCTGTGCAGAGCTCTGCAACAGCTCAGGAGAATCCCCCAGCCTGTTCCATGGGTCTGGCTACAACACCACTCCCAGGAATTGTGCTGAGGGCAGGAACAGAACTGCATGTTCATGGTGCTTCAGGGATTTGTTCATGTATTAATAGCGCATATTGGTGGATTTTCTCTCTTCCTGTTTATTCCTCCTCCACGTAAGCACTATCCCTGACAATCAGAATATGGTGCTTTCTGCTCAGAACAGTCATTGAAGGTACCGGAACAATGGGACCAGTGTGAAGGTGTCAGAGCCTCCAAAGGGATTTAGATGCTCATTGGGTTCTGGACCCCACAGGCTTGCCCCGAAAGCAGCACTGGAGGGTGTATCGAATGGAGAAGTTGCTGCTGCTCAGGCAAATGTGGGAACATCTGACTCCTGAGCACCCATAAGGAATGAACACAATCCCTGCTCCACAAAAACGTGCAGGAAAGCCCTGAGACTCCACTATTGCTCCAAGAGATTGTGAAGAATTGTTGATGTAAAAGGGGTAATAAACAATGCTGAACAAGTCTCGCCTTTGCCAGTTTCATGACGAAACAAGAGCAGTGAAACAAGGGAGTAAATAGGTCTCTCTGGCTATCAGTGAGCAATCCATAGCCTGTCCTAGTGCTGTGAGGTGGGGTGGCAGCACTGACCACCCCGTGCAGGGCTCTCACTGCAGTCCCATCACTCTCAGCCCTACTCGGCTCCTGCTCACACTGCCAGTCTTGGACACTGCACCTCAGGGACTCTCAAAAGGATGTAACACTTCACTTCAAAGAAGTATTTAAGATGTTTTTTCACAGGAGATAAAAGCTTAGCAAAGTTATGTCAAAGGTAGTTTCCCTTCCAGTACAGAGATATAAAGATAAATAATTCAGTATCAAAGTCAAGAAAAAGAACAATCTTCACCCCATCAACCTGGTAATTATTCATGCAATGCTCTGCCAAGCCCACAAGCACTGTGTAAATATGTCTGTGTATATTGACAAATTCTAAATTAATTTAAAAAGTTTATTTAGTTCTTCCTTTTATTAAAGTAATAACATGCCTGTTTGATCCACAAATGTTATGGAATTCAACAAATTTATTCACTTGGCTTGAGGAGGACATTAACCATTAAATACTCATGTTCTAGATGTTCTTAAGAAATTAAAAATGAGAAAATTAAAGGAGATGTCAAAGAAAATAACTACAGGCAAAGTCTGCACTTGCAGGTGCAGTGGAAGAAGCCTCTCAGCTCTGCTTGTGTTTCTGCTTTTGACAAGACCTTCAACCTCAAACCTGCAGCACTTCCCAGTTCTTCTGAGAACAGGAGGGAGTCCGAGGGCAGCCTCAGAGGACACCATCAGTGTGTGTCCATGTTACACACAGTCATGCCCCAACAGCAGCTCCCTCTCCCCAGTCCCAATCCACCTGCACAGAGCCATGGCTATGGGACACATCCTACCAAGGAGCAAGGCCCCCTGAGACAGCCCTGCCATGGCATGCTGTGCCATCTTTTGGGGTTTAAATGCACAGCTGAGTCTTTTCGTCACTGCCTCTACCCTTCACAAGGATTTCCTACTATACAAAGAATTCCACTGGAATTTGGTACATCCATGCCATGCCTTAAAACATGTCAAGAAACCAACTGGTAAACAAAATTCCAAGACTCCACCAAGACTCCATTATAATTATACCCTTATTCACATCAGTGAGAAGAGCTGCTGAAGTTATCAAAGCAAATCACAATCAAACCCAGCATTTGGGAATGCTCCACAGGACTGAACGTACCTCAGGGAAATAATCCTGTGGAAACTTCTCTTTTTCCAGCATGGGCGTGCTTTCTAAAGTGTCAGAGTAGATTTCTTTCCCAGTAACCTTTTTATACTTCTTAGCTAGGAAGAGAGATAAAACAAAATTAACATACATAACCTCAACATTTTGAGCAACTTCCAGTACTCACTGGTAGAGCAGTGACATCTGCAAAACAGGTGGCAAATCAACAGGGCAAATCAAAAGTGTGCAAGCACTGAACTGTTCTGAGGGAAAACCAGAGGCTACTAAACCAGATATAAACACACCTGCTTATAAAAGACACCTCGAAGCTTCAGAGTAATGGGTATTATCATCTCTACTATCCAGAGCCCTGTAAAGTGCTTGAGCTCCAATCATGACCCTGGTCTCTGCACACCCTTGCACTTTCACCCTCCTCAGCTGCTTGGTGACCCTGCAGCCCCCATCTCCTTCAGATCATGCCTTTCTGGCCATCAGCACATGAGGCTGGCATGGGGATTTACAGCTGGAATGGGTGCTGGCTTTGTACAAGAGATTCAGTGGTGATGCACACCTCTTTCCAATGTCTTTAATGAATGGTTTCATCACAGACAAAACCAGCACAGATTCCTATGGATCTACTCAGCTCATGAATGAGAGGTTCTGCTTCTTGATCCACTTCATACTCGATCTCTCTCCCAATCAGGGCAATGTACTGGCGTGTCTAAGGTGAGAACCTGACTTATTGTACAAAATCCTCTGATACAGGAATCTGGGCAGCTGTTGTACAGCTGCCATTACACTGGACCTACCCAACTGTATGAGATTTGACTGGGAAAGCATAGGAGAAAAACTCCAAACCAACTATTATCAAGAACCCTAAATTGTCCAGTTCTACTGGATATCTGGTGAAAACACCAAGCGGTACAAAAACGTGTCAGTTACAGTTGTCTGGATAAAGTATTTTATATAATCTGAGGAAGCATTTACTGCAATGTAGCACTGTGTCTTAAGGGGGGAAAAAAAGTATCATTCTTTATGTGCCAATCACTCTGAGGTCTGGCTCCCACAGGAAAACTAAACAAATAGCCCAAGAAACTGACGAGGCATCATTCTGAGTGGATCATGGATAGATGTGCCTCTTCCAGCAAGTTTAACAGTATCAGCAGAGATTCCAATGTCATTTGGGATACAGAGAAGACCTGGTAGAACTGTAAAGACTGAAGGCTTCTGCTGGGAGAACCACAGTAAAAGGCAAAGGGAGCTCTTGGCAAAGGGAGGCACTTTTCCCTCATCCACACCGGCACCAACACTATGTGTGAGCCCGTGGCTTGTTGACACAACTGCTGAGCAGTGATGCAGGGGAACACAGCCTGTCCCCAGCTAAAAACAGCTCTACTCATTTCTGACTTCACACCAGAGAACAAGATTCTTTTTGTAAATCAAAGTGGTCGACTGGAACTGGCTAAAACCCCTCTTTGGAGGATGGCCCTTCAGAACACACAGCTTGGCACTAGTTTAAGTTGTAAGCAAACTTTTGGGCCTCTGACCACTGTGAAAACAGTCCAACACCTCTGTGCTGTAGCAAATAATACGTGAGGCTGTAGGAGAAAGATGTTCTCATTTTAAAACTCAGATACGTCTTCCTGAGATCTGAAAAACAGAGACAATCTTTTTTTTCTCCAAAGGCTGTATTCAGTCACATCCAACTGTGCAGTGAATTTTGAAAAGCACAGTGATGTTCCAGGAATACTGAATTGTGTATTAACATCTATTTTTTGCATGCTTTTGAGCAGAACCAGAATTTCATAATGATTTTTGTGCAGAGAATGTTTGTATCCATTCGGATTTTTCTTCTGATTTAAGGGCTTAATACACTGTGAAAACGTCAACAGTCATGAAGAGAAGAGGCAAGTTTTACATTTCTCCTGAAAGATGGGAGCCTTCAGGGTCATATTTTACAAACCCTACACTGGGAGACAGATTCTGCTCTACGTTATGAGAACAGTGGGTGACTTACAACAGTGATTCACCCATTTTCTTGGACTTTTATTAAGAGTTTTTTCCTTCCAAATGATACCTGGGCCAAAGACATCTTTATGTGAATGGTTCACATCTCAGCTGGCTCTGCTAAGGTTTTGCAAAGCAAAACAAAGCACTGACCATTTAAAGCATTTATTTTCTGGAACAAGTATCTGCTTACTGCTTTCCTATTGATTGTTTTCCCTTACATTTTTTCCTTCCATTTTCTCACCTCCTTTTTTAATTCTTACGCTTCCTTTTAAAAGCTGTACAGTAGAGAATATGTTGCCAAAGAATGATAAATAAATCCCGAAAGCTCCTCTTTTCCTAAAGCAGCTGTCGTTTCCCTGCCAGGCGGGGCTGGAGCAGGACACGTCCCGTCTGTGACCAGCAGGAGGAACCTCCAAGTGGAGTTCAGAGTGAAACTGCTGCTCCCCCAGCGCTGGTGGGATGAAGCTGCGGGCTCAGGTGTGCAGAGACAGTTCACAGATTATTGGCACAAAGAGCCATTCACAAGGCAAAATGAATGAATAGCCACAGCAGGGGAGAGCAGACCATTCCACACAGGGCCTGGGCAACACCTGGGACCCCCTGAGCCCCCCAGTGTCCACAGTTCAGTCCCCCGTGTGCACAGTTTGTTACTGAGTGTCTGCACAACAGCTCTGGTCTGGGAGAAAGCCCAGGTACAGCCTCTCTTAGGAGTGCCAGCACTTCTAGGAGTGTTCCCATATGGTCTATCAGAGACAAAATCACTCTGCCTGTGATGTTATAATGAAAATGTTCCTTCAGCACTGAAACCAGTGGTGACAGGACGACTTGTGCTGGCTAAATCTCGAACAGCTATACACGCAGAACTACCGTTCAAATATTTCAGGGCAGGAAGACCCTGTACCCTCAATTACACGAGCAGAAAGAATCTGTCTCTACTGAGAACAAAAATAATGAATCTATATAATTAAGACAATTAGTTCACTCCGTAGTTACCATCATTTCAACAGTGTCTCAAATTAATGAGATGCTAGATGGAGTATTAATGTGGCTCAGCTCAGTGAGCTAAATTAAGCTCAGGGGATTTTTTATATTAAATATACACAGTTCTCAACTGAAATAACTGAAATTTTACATAATCCTTTCTATATTCACCTCTGGAAGCATTCAATAATTTTCTATCATATTTTTAATATTTAATGTACATAACCTTGCATTACTTTTACACTTGTGAGACGTAGCAAGACCTCCAACCTGAAGGATCAATGTGGGTTAAAACAATGCCACCCTTCTACTGACCTGCTCTGCTCCTGAGTAATTTAAGCCATAAATCTACCTCAGCTGCTTTGCAAAATGACCATTGCTGCTGGACAGTTAAGGTCTTGGTCCTGTATCTGATCTACATGGAAGAACCTTGTGGCCATTCAGCGTTCTGAAATCCACAGGGATCACTATGGACTCAAGGGTCCCTGGGAATGGTTAATGCTCCAGCTTGCAACCTGTGGCCAGTCCATTGACTTCTCCTAAGAGGTCTATAAAAGGTAAGGAAAGCAACGCCTGTCACCAAGGGACCTGCATGCAAACGGAGTCTGTGTAACACAGAAACACTGCCAGGCACCACATCAAAAAAAAAGGTGGAAAAGCTGCCTTGATGCATAAACCCAATTGTCCATTAAAAACTTTTAATTCCTTCGCTTACCTTTAAAATCGAACTGGTAGATGTTTTTCAAAGATTCATGAAGAAAGTAAAAACTTCCCAGAGCCTGTAACAGAACAATAATAAAATAGGAAATTATAAAAATATCCACTTTGGCTAACTAAAATAAAAAGAATATAATGGTTTTCAATTAGGAAAAAAAAAAACAGAAGAAATTTACTCATGTTTGAATTTTCTAAGATCTTTAAAAATATTAATTTCCTTTGTTGCTTCTCTGAAGTTTCATCAACCATTATAAAGAAGATCCTTACCAGCTGGCTGATCACAGTAAGGGCACCACAGCCAGTGTACATTTAAACACCAAACGGATGGACACGACAGGTGACACCAACTGGTGCCCTTCTAGGCCCCAAACACAGCCCCCCAAGGTCTGTCACAAAAACCTGACAATATCTCCTTCACTTTCAGAGCAAAACCAAAGCTTTTGGAGCTTGTTGTACAGGAACAAGGGAAAGTTCACAATTTTCTAACCTGCACCTCAAGCTTCTGTAGAAGGAGCTCCACAAGCTCCCAACAGCCTGACCTGCTTTTTTCCTACCCTGAGACTGAAAAAGTTCCTCAGCAGGGACAACACCCTTTGCCTTCCTGCCACAGTCTTCTCTCCATATGCCCCTTTTCCCAGGACCCTCCAGGGCTGCCAACCCAGGGTGCTCAGGCCAGCAGTCCCTTCCTGGCTCCGTTTGGCCATGGGAGCTTTGCCATGATGAGACTCACATCTACTGTGAGCTTGCTGCTTGCTTTGCCTTTTCCTCAGTCGTGTCATACAAGTGCTTTCCTCAAGTTAATGAGAGGAAAATGACATGTTAGAAGAGAGCTAATGAAAATCAAGTGAGAAACGAAAAAGCAGTGTAAACAGACATAGTGGAATATGAAAAAATTTAGAAATTTTAAATGAGAACTTGATACACCTTTAAATGCATCTGATGCACTCAACAGAAGCTGAGAATAAAGCAGCCTGCCACTGGATAAACTCTTACTAAGAAGAATAAAAGAAGCGACGCATTAACCAAAAAGGATGATTTAGTTTCATTCCACTTCGGCTCGGGGACTGCTGCATTATTTATAAGACGCTGCACATCCAGAGATTAAACATTTGCTGATTTGTCAAAAGCACAAACATGAGGTCCTGCCCATCTCCTTGACATATTAGTCCATCCAACAGAAAACACTGTCACACGTTTAATTGATGAGTATACGTCCCTGCGACCCAGGCAGATTCCTTCAGGCCTTTGGGCTTCTTTTTCATAACATGGAGGAGGCGAAAAGGCAACTGCAGGAGACTCTACTGTGAAGGACTCAAGGTTAACTGTGCTGCAACAAGGACACACTGCCAGGAAAAAATAAATCCTGGTACAAGATAAAAGCACTGCCACCTGATATTCCCAGTTGGTCCATCCCTTTCTTCTATGCACAGGGCAAAATCTGACATATATAAAGATAACACTTTGCTAAATAATAATACTCTTTAAGAACTCAGTATAAAGATACAGCTTTATTTCAGCTTCTAACATGGCCTTCAGAAGAAAAAAAAAGGAGCCTCGGCAAGCACCTGGAAAGCATCATCCCAAATGCCTCAAGTCTGAGGCATTCATAGCAAATGGAAAAGGGATCTTGGAATGGGAACTCTTGGGCTATGTCAGTAATCCGTGGCCAAGCCAGCCTACCTGTGACATCTTAGTGCTGTTTTTAAGGGAGTCCCACAAAGCAGGACAGCAGGATCATGCAGTCAAAGTACCTCCAGCCCATGCCCTGCCCCATGCAGTCTCCTCAGAGAGGAGACTCAGAACTCTCCTGGACTGGAGCCTCCCTCCCCTCCTGAGCTGCTGCTCCAGCGTCTCACCACCTTCATGGTAAACTTTTCCCTTTATTCTCATCAGAATTCCCTATGCCACAGCTGAGACTAAGTAAAAAAGACTAAGTAAAAAAAAAAGTATTTGGAAATAGCAATCTGTCCAAATCAGGTACAAATAACGTTAAATCTGGGTGACAGAATTAAGAACTCTGAAGTTTCTCATGTAACATATCAACAAGTAAACCAAGAAGAATCCAGATGCTCTAAAACCTGTTTTATTTAGGTGTCATAATTCTATTAAAAACAGTACTGCCACTCGTCCTCAAGCTACAACTTCCTTTCTGAGTGTCACGATTCGCTCACTGCTTGACTTCTTACAGTTTTAATCTCAATTTTAAAAACTAATTTTGAAGACTTATGCAGCAAAAGTTCGGTTTGATAGTCTGCATTTGTAGCACAGAGCGTCAACTACTCGTGCACAATGAATCTGTGACAGTGATGAAGTAACTCCGTTGATTTTCAGGAACTGATACCAGCAACATTAAGACAGCCTTGGACTGTGCAATTCCAAACACTTCACTGAAAAGAATCAAAACTATAATGGAATGGAAATTACAGTTATCGCTATCTTCCGCATTGTTATAGACTTAATCAGGTTTAGGTACATAAATGTGAACTTGTAAAAATGATGGAGTGCACTTATAATTCCCTGCCCTAACGCAATGAAATACACATAAAAAAACCTTCCAGGGCCTAATGCTTAGGCCCTTTTGTTGAGACGATTATGTTAATTCAATTTATTTATCGTAAAATGCCAGTTGAACAATACAGTTAAATGAGATTAATTTAAAGAATAGAACCTTGCTTTATTTTCTTATTTACAATTTTAATGTCCTTTGGAGAAAGCAGCAGTGGTACACACAGCAGCAGCAGTACATACAGTATCTAAGTGATACAACACAGGAACACGTTACAGATTATAAACCATTCAAAGAGCTCAACTTTTAAACATCTCGAACGCAAAGAAAGCAGGCTGTTATTTTTTCCACTTTAAGGGTTGTTGAAATGGATGACTTCTGCTGTTAGCACAAGTTCTACACCACCTGTAAATAGGTGCTTCTACTCAAATGGAACCTCAGTGGTTGTGCTGTGCACTGTCCCTTCCTCGCTCAGTTACAGAGTCTTCACCAGCACAAACCAGCAGATCTGGGAATACTACAGCCCTCTTCATTCCTTCTGGGAATACCACAGCCCTCATCACAACAGCCCTTCCAGAGCACAAGCCCGGAAAACAGCGTGCATAGAGGGCTGCTGAGATTGGCTTCACCACACATCAGAGACAGTGCATGTTCTGCAGCTGTGCCCCTCCAGTATCATCCCTGAAGGGATCAATCTGTAGCCTGTCCTCTCCAGCATTCAGAGCACCCTAATTTCTGAGGGCAGGGCTCAGACACAGTGCAGCAGACCTCATCAGCTGCTCTGATCCTGAACAGAGCACTCCTGCCCCAGGGAACGAACAGGGCATGGCACACACTCTGCCATGTGTGAAGTCTCACCAGAGTGAAGTGCAGGGAGCAGCCACTGGCTTGTCTGCTTGACTTCCCAAGCAGTCTGCAAACACAAACTAGTCATGGATTCTGTTTCAGTAGCCTCAAGGCAGAGTGATGAATGGATAGCTCACAGTTAGGTTCAGATCAGAAAGTTCTTAACTCGTCAGGCCAATCTGACTGCTCCTGGGCCAGCAACTATCAAAATCACCACATTCTAGAGTACCAGAAGTTTCTGGAAGTTCAGGGAGACCTGCCCAACCTGTTGACCTCAGGTGGTCACACGGACAGCACATGTAATTCCTGGGACTGATCAACCAGGTGAATTAGGAAGGAATACTTCCCTGTGATGGTGGTGAGACCCTGGCACAGGTTGCCCAGAGAAGCTGTGGTTGCCCAATCCCCAGAAGTGTGGTCATTCCATGATTCTGTGATTCCTACTCTACTACTAAAGCCAGGGGCTGACAAGATACAAAGGGCTTCATCAGAGCCTGAGGTGCCCAGCTACTCCCAGAAGCACATCCACAATTCAGAATAACACCCATGCCCACAGGGAAACACCACACAGTCACTGCCAGTAGCTGTACTGAAATTTATTCACATTTTGCTTCCCAGGAGAGTTTAAACATTGTAAATTGTGGGAGGAACATGATGAATGTGTGAGCAATTTATATTGTGTGAGGTACTTTTATAGACTTTTATAAACTTTCATATAGTTTTATAAGCACTATAAGTTATAGGTGTCAAGATGGCCGCGGGTGTCTTTTCAAGAACAAAAGGAAATCAGTGCCAAGAAGAAGGTGGAGTTTGATAAAGTAAATAATTGCCTTGTTACCTGTTAATAACCAATTATAAAGGTATTTGTAATGCATGTTTACATCTGGACAGTGACCTGTAACCAATTATGTGCTTCTTGTCACGAGACCTTGTATACAGATGCTATAAAAACCCTGAGCTATCCTAATAAAGCGGACATATTTTAGATCTTATAGATCGTGTATGTATGTCTGAGCCTCCCCGTCAACAGTAAATAGACACGAATATACATATATACATCCAGCTAAACCAGCAGAGAGCATCAAAGCAGAAAGGCAGATGACACAGTCATAAGCAATACTCAGTTTTAGCTTGGCCAAGTTCCTTAGAAACACACAAGATGGTAAAACTGATTGTTCTGCTGTCTCCCCTGCTCACTATAACTAAACAGCTTGAATTTAACACCCCTAAAAATCAAATAGTCAAACCAGCACACAAAATCCTGTAAGTAGAGAAGGGAAAATTTCTTTTGTAAACTCCTAGGACCTCTTTCAATATCACAGTCACTAACTGCAGAGTACACAGGCAAACACATCCTGGCTTTTGTAAGAATGGCCCCTCCGGAAATGCTCAGGAGCTCAGGGAGAGGCCAGGCATTATCTCAGGCAATGCTGCTATTAACAACTGCTTTTTCCGGACTGACAGAAGTACCTGACTGTTCCTACCACGTCTGTGTGTGGACCTGTATTGCAGCTGTAGACACAGAGCAACATTTGCCATACACTGGGCATGTTCATTAGAAGAGCTTTGCATCTCCCCCAAAAATGTATTATGGAGAAAAAAACAGGCATCTTCTCCCTGCTATCACACTGAAGTTAAATGTCCACTGTGTTTAATTAGCTTCCAGAATGACACTCATTATGGTATTGGACATTTCTTTCATTATTCCAT